ATACCATACTGGCTGTCATAGGAATGCATGTTGAAATAGGAACGCCTTTAACATGCATTGAAAAGTCAATAGTCCCAGAAGCAGTTTAGTCATGCTGGCCACATGACCTGGAAATCTGTCTGTGGACAAACGCTGGCTCCCTCAACCTGAAGCGAGATGAGTGCCACACTCCACAGTCACCTTTGACTGGACCTAACCATCCAGGAGTCATTTACTTTACCTTTTACCTTTATCAATGCCAGCACCTTACCTACTCCAGCAGCTAATAGGCAGTCAGCAATTTCTTCAGCAGAATCTTTGCACTTTCTCCCATTTCATATATTATGCATTATAAACCTAAGCAAAGCTGTTCCATTTTCCTGGATATGGTCAATGCCTGAAAAATTGGTTGTGCACCATGAGCACTATCTGTTTATGAGAACTAGACCTCCTGATTATGAGAGTTATAGTCCAGAAAATCTGAAATGCACCAGATGAAGGAAGGCTGGCCTACATGGACCAATATTATCTCCCTGCTTGTTCTCAGTTCCCTTCTTTGTTGGGTCTCTTTGTTAACAGGGTTGCGGACCAATTTTTCCTGAAAGCAATTCACAATGAAATGTGTGCTTCCACTACATTTCCAGAACAAGTGGCTTTTATGTCATGTGAAAGATCACATAAAACATGAAAATTATCCAGTGAGGGAATCTCAGGGAAATTGAACAAAGCACTATTTGAATGCAGCCTCCATTGGGCTCCAGCTCAATGTGTGGGGATTTGGTGCTTGTCTGAACGCAGAGAACTCGTGGCCAGGATTGTCTAAGTTTCGTATCTGTGACATTCTTGTGGGAGCAAGCACCACTATTTTGTTCTCTTTGTGCCTAAAGCCAAGGATGAAAGTATTTTTTTTTTATTGGAACTAATGGAAAGTCAGCAGTTCTTGTTTATGTGGACGCCAGGCAACCGTTCTGTCACTGCACCAGGGCTAGGTATGCTGTATTGCTTTCACTTACTGCCTCCTGTGCTGCCACCTGCCAGAACTAGCCCTGCTTATCCAAACGCCGTCTGGCATAACTGGAGCATGAGGGGCAGGGCCTCCCTGTGAAGGTGGGGTATGTCGGCACTACAGGACAATAGACCGTCATGCTCCAATGTGGCTGGCACCCAGAATCAAAGCAGCAGGCATTTAGGCCAAGGAATTAAAACAAGCCAAGTTCCAACTGCATATTGTTCCTTAAAGCTGATGGCTCGGTCATGTGTCGGATAAGGACAAAACCTTTTCAGCGTAAAACTATTGCATTCACTGAGCAGCTGCAGGATGCAATGATCAAGTTTAAGAATAAGACAGTGTCTGCTGTACAAATAGCAGTCTGTCATCAGCATTGCCTGCTTTATGTACTACATTTGAGCTGGAATTACCGTCAGCGTTTTCGTTGTTGGTGTTGCTTTTAGCTGTTATCAAGACGTATGTGCTTTGGAAAGGTAGACGCAGTGCCAAAATGAGCAGACCCCAGACTTCAGTCAAACAGTGCAGTTCCATAGCGTGATTCAGAAGCATTCGGGCAACTCTTGTGAAGTGCTCTGTGCTTTCGACAAATCTGCTCACGGTTTTGCAGATACACAAACAGGCACAATGCATTATCACAGAACCTGAACTCTCGCAATAAGCCAAAGTAATACATAAATAAAGAATTGAATGAACAGCCTGGAACCAGAACTGCTCAAACTTTTAATTTTCTTTGGAAATCTATTGTCCAAGCATAGTGGTTTAACTTTCTGGGTTGGAAGGTACATATATTTTATTAACTCCAGGCATTTTTTAAAAAAATGTACATTTGACCAGAAATTAATTTTGTTTTAGACTTTCTGCACTTAAAGATTGGGCCTTAATGGAACATTTGCTTACTTGTTACTGGTATTATCTGGTTTGTGAAAATTACAGTGTCTATTTTATTTTTACCAAAACATGGACATTGCCACAGAAACCAAGAAAACAATTTAAAGGACATAAAAGTATTTTCAAGAAGAAAAATATTTTGTAAAAATATCAACAACATAAACATATTAAGGAACAATGATAAAAGACAGTATGAATCAGGCCCATGCCGAACTTGTCTGAGGCCCAGAGTGGGAGTCCCCTGCTGGCTGGGAGGCATGGGGTTTCTTGGCATGACATTGTAAGTCTGGCAGGCCCTTGGCTGTATAAATCTTATGAAATAAAAATACTCTTCTCGGGACCCATAATTTCTACTGTTTTATTGGTTTATTGTATAAGATATTCCTGTTCTGATGTCTGACGTTTTACAGTTTTTTTATATGCACTGTAAGCCACCCAGAGTGGCTGGGGAAATGCAGCCAGATAGGCGGAGTATATTATTAACAACAACAACAACAACAACAACAGGCCTGTTTTTGGTAGTATAGCACACCCTGCTTACAGACCCTATTTTGCCATGTTGTTGTGGTTCCCTTTCTCCATCCTGTCAATCTCTGGCAGCTCACCACTAGGCTTACTAACCCAGACCTGCTTCATTATTCTCCCCTGTACCTTTCTGTCTCCTTATGTCTTCTTTTTCTCCTAGTTTCTCTGGTTCACTTTCCACTCTCCGTAGCCTATCTGTGTTCTGTAAAGCCTTTCATATCCATCCATTCTTATTCTCTATTGCAGGGGTCAGCAACCTTTTTCAGCCATGGGCCAGTCCACCGTCCCTCAGACCATGTGGTGGGCTGGACTATATTTTGAAAAAAAATATGAACGAATTCCTGTGCCCCACAAATAACCCAGAGATGCATTTTAAATGAAAGGATACATTCTACGCATGTAAAAACACGCTGATTCCTGGACCGTCCGCAGGCCGTCCTCAGACCGTCCGCAGGCGATTGGGTCACATCTGGCCCCTAGGCCTTAGATTGCCTACCCCTGCTCTATTGGTATATCCCTTGGATCTATCTTTCTTGCCCCTTACACAGACACCGGAAGCATTTGGGAAGCCCTTGAGCAGCAGCACTGGACTGTTATGTGACTTCTCCCTACCTGTGTCTGGTTGGGCTGGGACCCTCTGGGTCATCCCAAAAGGGGCATTGTGGGAAATTAAAATGGAAGCTAGATTCCAAATTCCAAGTGCTAATTGGAGCACTGAGCCAGTTGTTTTTTGGTGTTTTTTTTAAGGAGGAATCAAGATAGGCATCTGTGGTGAGTCCTGCCAAGGCATAAGGGCCCTGGCAGCTGCTTAATTATTATTATTATTTATTAAATTTGTATAGTGCCCTATACCCACAGTGCCCTATCCCCACAGGGCAGTTCACAAGATGCTAGCTGCTTAAGGATGTTATGTGAGGACACAGTGTGGGAATGCCTGTTGGGGTAGCTACATTATCTTTTGCTTCTCCTGGCACAGTTTTGCTTTGCTTTCTTCTGTGAGGACATCGGGTTCCAACAACTTTGTACTGTGATAACATCTAAGTAGCATTGGCATAATGATTTCCAGGGTTCACATGAGGCCCATTGTAAACAGTGCGTCTTGGAGGAGGTGATGGTAGGGGCAGTAGTTTGTGATTCTTGTGTGAATAAATAGGCACAAGATTGTAAATTAGTAACTGTCGACTCTTTGGTTACCATTGCAAATGTAACAGAGGACTCCAAATACAGCCCAGAGATGCAAACCACATAGCAGAGATCTTCAAAGTTGGCATTTTTTAAAAAAATTGCTTGTATTTGTGGCACACAGCTTTCAACCCGTTTTCTAATCACACATGTCATCAGCGACACTCTGACAGAAACTCTGAAGAAATTCTGGGGTTTTTTTTAGGGCAATAATAAAAGGACAGCTGCCCATATGCTCTCAGGTCTTCAACATAACTACAGATAATTACACACTAACTGTAGCTGCTTAAGGAAATTCTACACAAATCCCCTTACAAATATGAGTTCACATATCCTGTAATATTTCCAAAATCTTTCTAAAAGAAAAGAAAAGCGCTAATATGGTTCAGCGGCTTGAGAATGGGTGGGATTTTTTGGCAGACTAAGGGCCACATTCCTTTATGGGCAACTGACTGGGGGCCATAGGTCAGTGGTACCAGAGGTAAAAGTGGGCAGAGCAACAAATGTAAATGTTAGCTTTCTACAGTAGCTCGTTTCTACACAAGCTGACATGTTCTTCTCCATCCCCCATCCAAGCAAGCAAGAAAGAAAGAGGTGTTATCCAAGTTCCAGGACACATTCCAGCCAGGCAAAACAATCAGGGAGGGTACAAAGCAGGCCAGGTGAGGGGTGAAGCTCAGGAGGGGTGTAGATAGGAAGGAGCCCCAAGGGTAAGGATAGAAAGGCTTGCAGGGTTGTTTTCACCCCCTGGTCCTGAAGCTTACCATCCCTGGGCAAGAATGTAGAGATGAGAGGATTCCTCCCCTCACCATTCAGTTTCTTTACTGCATTTTTCGGGTCCACTGTGTGTTCTATTTCTCTTGCATTCCAGTTTAAGTGGGATAATTTCAAAGTAATTTTTCAAATTGGAGCATGTTTAGTTGGCCTCAGCTTTCAGCCACCTCAGTTTCTTTGTGCCTTTAACTTTGCACTGCCAATTCGCACATGCTCTTTATGAAACATTGCAAGGAGGCCATCTTGATGTGACCCTCTTTTGTGGGTGCTGTGACTGCTCTTCGACTGATCTGCACAGGGCCACTGGATGATTTTGGGAAACCTTCCATGAAACCTATTTGATGCAATTATACCTACGATCACATGAAGATGGCTTTTGAAGAGTGTTTTATCTGGCTTTAGTAGAAATGTTATAAGGAATTAAGTACAGATAGGTTAACAGAGCATTAAAGAAAAAATAAGGTTAGAATGAGTTAAGATAATTATAGGATAGAAAACAGAGGAAGATGGAAAGGAATTGCTGAAATAATTAATAGAAGTGGAATACAAAAAGGGAGGTGTGAGGAGATCGTGGAAATAAGTGAATGAAAGATGGGATAATGAAATTGTTTGATTTATTTTATTGTTTTTGTTTTGTTTTGTTAATTTGATGTGTTGTATTGTATTGTCTTTTTAGTGTTTAAGTTTTTGGAAAAATAATAAATAAATATTATTTTTTAAAAAATGAAGAGTGTTTTATCAGCTTGTGTAGAACAAGACACAAACGAACTGATAATGAAGGAGAAATTACATACATAGGGATTTAAAAAAAACAACAACCTCAGATATTTAAAAAGAAATAGCACAGTGGAGAATTCTCAATGCTTCAGCAACAATTTGGAGCTGCGAAATTTTGGGACAAATCTGAGAATGGATTCATCCAGAGAAGGGGAAAGCCTAGGTTTAAGTTTGTGCTCAGCTATGAAGCTTACAAGATGGCGAAATCTGCAGGTCATTCTCTCAGTTTCACCAAGTTGCTGTGAGGCTACAGCACTGCTCTGAGCACCTTGAAGGAAGGATGGGCCGAAGAAGTAGCAGATGATTATTATTGTAAATAATAAGCGGTGTGTTTATGCCACATTTGAGGAGGAAAGGGAAGCTGAAAGAAGTTGCTTCCTCTCCAAGATTGCCTTGGCAACACCTTGAATGCCTTCTGGAGTTTTTAAAAACGGCCATATGCCATAAAGAAACGGCTTCAATTCAGGAGACTCTGTGCCATGAAGGGCTTTAGAGGTCAAAAACAACACCTTAGACTACACATACAGTCAATGCACTGTTGTCACTCAATTGCTGAGCTGGATCCAGCCATCTTCCTTCAAGGTAGCTCTGATATTATAGCTACAACACATTTCTCAAGCAGTCATCAACTGCAGTATTTTGTTGCTGGGAATATGTGATCCGTCCTCACCGACTGAATTTATTTCAAGTACTATGTGGAATGTGGTCAAACAGAGCATGTAGAGGGAATGAAGGTGTACCATCATTTTTTTATTTTTAATGCTAACTCTCCCCACCCCACTGCAGTAGAGGCAAAACCCTCAAACTGGTGCCAGGAAATTAAGGTTTCTTAAAATGTTGAATATAACAGATCTGATTTGATTTCATTCTGCTCTCTTGTTGCAGTGGGTCACATAGAACTTGATATAGCTCTAATTGCTGAAAGAAGCCAGTGGAATAAGATTGCATGAAAATTTGCTTGCGCTTGGAGTAGATGGTCAACACCTTACTAAACTTTTTCCTAGCACAACTTTGAGGCTTTGCCTCTGTTTTAAATAACAGCCTGTAACATCACTAGTGGAGAGTAACATAACTTTGTGGCATATTGTGCTAGAAGTGGCAGATGTCAGTGGTTTCAAGGTTGAATAAGTGTGTCTGACCTAGAAATCAACATCCTACAATAAAAACTTCATGGTAAAACGTGATACTAGATTGACTGATTACTCTTGCAGAAGAATATATGTTGGGCTTTAATTTCTTTCCAAATTAGATCTAATCACCACCATTATATTGCTATTGAGCAATCTTCTTGTCTCAGTGTAAATTTTATTTACATATTATCTTTCCATTTATATATATGCTCAAGGTAGTTTACATTGAAACTGATGAAAATTATAACAATAATGCAAAATCATACCCAGGAATAGAAAAAGAAACAACAAAAGCTGTCAATCAGCTGGAACTCTCACTTTGAAGCTACATTGAGACATAGTACAGTTCTCTGCATAAAATACAGGCAGTTCTTACACAGTTAATGCTTCAAACCTTTATATTGTTTGCAAGAATGGACAGATCTGTCAACTTTGGTTCTTCCAGTTTCTCTTTCTTCAATCTTAAATTCAGTTCTCTGATTTTTTGCAGCAATTCAGTCCTTTTTATAAAAAATGAATATTCATTAGCATTTTAGTGCAAATTTCTCCTAATAATTTTTTGTATGCAACTTTGACTAATACACACATTTCTATAATTAGTTTTCCCTAATGTAATGCATTTTTGTATGCTACTTTCAGTAACATAGGCATTTCTTTGCACACTTCCAAATATATGAAGTGGTTGGTTGGAGAACTGCATCACAAAATGCAGAGAAGGGCGAATTTCAAATGATAGCTATGTTTCAGTTCACACATTGTTTGAGAAATATGAATTAGGCAGTTTCTCATTAAACAGCAAACAAAATTGAATTTCAGAAACCGTACATCATCAATAATCTCAAAATGATGATTTCTCCACACAAACCAATCATTGTAGAATAGCAAGGTCACTGAAGCATTTCTGTGCTACTGTGCCTTTAATTAGTAGTTTCCTCTTTGCAGCTTTCACCTCAAATTGCACAACAGCAGCTTAATTTGATGCGGACTACATTTCCCAACACTCTCAAGGAGGATAAAGCAGAGAGGGGAAAGAATGGGGGAGGAGATGGGCAGTAGGCTGTGAAAAAGACACAAGCCTAGCTCGCCCCCCATATCTCTTCATTATTCAAAGCAAAGCATAAGTATTCCTTTCAAATGTCCCATATCTGATACATGACAAAGAAGCAGTGGCTGTACTCCAGGTAGTGGGGGGAATGTAGATATTTGTGTAGCTATAACAAGAAGAAAATGACTTGGTTCTTGGTTGTTATTGGAATTAGCAGGATGACCAAAGTGTGCGGTGTCAGGGTCAGAGATGTATATCATGCTGCAGAGGGGCCCCTGTGCCGTGTAAATCTAAGTGGCTCGAGCTGCATTGTTAAAAATAAAGCAGATAGCTTTGAAATAGCAGCCGGCATGCTTGAAACTGCCCTCTGCCATATTGAAGCGAGGCTTCCATGTAAACCCCCCACATTTTAAATAAAGTGACTTGGGCTCTCTATGTGCGGTAATAATCTGCACATGAGTGACTGCTGTAATGCTTGCTGCTGCAGTTGCCAGCAGGGAAGTAAATGATCACTTCTGGCACACACAACGGACCCCAGCTTTGCCTTGGTTGCGTTTGCAGCCGAACAACAAACGCAGCAAATTGGGGTGAGGTGGGTGGGAAATAACCCTGGAGGTTCAACAAATAGTGTGAAGTTTCAAAAGAGGGAGGGGGCGAAAACTGCCACGCACACACCCTGTTTGTGGCTCAAAGGAAACACTCTCTGCCACTCTTGACAGGAGTGTTAGCAGCCTTTTGCTTTTGACCTCTCTAGCTTTTAAAAGAGGTGGCGAGGCATATGTCACCCAAGCCGGGCTGTGTCAGGGGGAAGATTTCTTTCTTTTTAATTTTTTTTCCATGTCCCTTTCCCCTGGTTGTCGGCTGTGTACGGTTTGATATTCAAATGAATCTGTCAGGAACAAGAGTCTGGTGCTCAGGCCTGATGACATTGATTTGTGAGCATAATGCTCAACTACGGGATGTGTGACAGATAAATTTTATCAAAATTAAGGCACAATTAAACATTTCATCTTCCTAATTACTGGCTGTAGATTCAGCCTGATGACCATGTGCTGTAAGAAATCAGCGACCATTACACATTTTAATGGAGCACAGCTGTCTTACAGCTTGGTAATATTTGCACAGTGCCACAGAACTGTAATTTATGATAAAAAGAAAAAATGTGTATTGGCTCTCTTTTGCCAAAATAGATTAAGGATTCATATACTTTAATGAGATTTGGACCTCGTCTTGGATTATCATTATAAATGATTTATGTGCATGTTGGTGGACTCCTGTAGTTTTGAGTTGATTTGTGTTTTGGTCGACCAGTATGTAATTCCGCCTTGCCTTGCGTGCCAATGTTTACACTTTCTCCTTGCTCTCCTTCCCTCTTCTCTTCCACCACCACCCCCACCACCACCAGTGACTCAGAGAAAAGGGAAAGCAGGAAGGTCAAGAACCCTTGGAGATGTTACAGAGGCACTTTCCTTTGTTACAAAGCACACCCTTTGGAGGGCACGCTGGGAAATAATTGGAAAGTCATACTGCAGCAGGGGTTGAAGGTGGCATGAAGGTTCCTTTATATCCAGCATTTGCAACATATAAACCAGTGATCACAAAGCAGGATCATAGAGCACAAGCTGAAAACAGCAGCAAGTCTTCCATTTGATGTGTACCTGATTTTTAATTGTTATTTTTTGGGGAGAGAGGGATTCCTCTACTGTTATTGATTAAATGTGTGTACTTGATTGGGGGAGGGGGTGTCTCTACTACACCTAATCCTAATTAATTACTTAAATTTTTATCTTGCCCTGCAACCCAAAGTCTCCCAGGGTGGTACATAACAATATATTAAAATATGCCAAGTAATACAGGAACCATAAAACCAACAATATGAAACAAACATCAAAACAAAAAAATCAGACATTCAGACAATTCAGCAGCCCTCTATCTCTTACATCAGCCTTACCCATAACCCTGGAAAAATAAATGTTCCTTAATCTGACACCTAAAACCACATAGCGTAGGGGCCAGATGGATCTCTATGGGGAGGAAGTTCCTGGCTGCCACCACAGAGAAAATGACAAGATGGCAGTTCTACCAGAGGGGAAGGCAAAACAACAACAACATAGGATCTCCAGACAATCATCTATGCAAAAGCAAAGCTGAGAAAATTGGAGTGGGAGTGGTAACATGGTTTGTCTGAAATTGACTGCCGCTTCAAACTGGATTTACTCCTGATGTGAGTGGGGCTGGCAGCGGGAGGGGGATGTACATTCCTGGATACTGTCAAGGCAGCTGCTGGATTTAGTATATGGATCTGCTTTGGAAAGCCATGGTGGCAGTAGATTCATACTACCCACATACCCACACAGTGGCGTAGCGTGGGGGGTGCAGGGGCGGCCGGCCGCACCGGGCGCAACATCTGGGGGGGCGCGCTTGCACTCGCAGCTCTCTGCCCCTAGGGCAGAGGGGGCGCAAATTACTTGCCTTGCCCCGGGTGCTGACAACCCACGCTACGCCACTGTACCCACATACTACAACGCACCAGATGCGAAGCAAAATGTTGACCTGTATTTTATCCCCAGAGATTATTTAAATTTCACATGTCATTTAAATTTCACTAAGACTGCAATCCTATACCTGGGAATAAGACCCACTGAACTCAATGTTCTGCATAAATACATGTAAATGTGTTTCCCCTCCCATTTCATGCATCTGCATCTTAATTATGGAAACTAAATTGGTGTGTGTGTGTGTGTTTGTGTGTTTATAGACAGAGAACTTTTCCATTTTGCTCTCATCATCATTAACAACTATACATATGTACATAAGCAGCATGAGAGTGCATAAAGAACACAAATGGTGCTTTCTATGTCATACATGCAACATCCATCCATCCATTTATTATTACATTTATATCCCACTTTTCTTTCAAGTAAAGGAGCTCAAGATGGCATGCATAGTTTCCCCCTTTCCCGATTTATCCTCACAACAACCCGATGAGAAACAGTGACTGGCCCAAAGGTCACCCAGCAAGCTTCATGGCCAAGTGGGGATTTGAACCCTGCTCTCCCAGGTCCTAGTCTGACACTGACTGTTACACGACGCCTTTGGTGTTTTCAGCTTTGCTTAGTAAATAAAATGATTATATATGATGTCTTGAAGCACCAAGGTGATGTTAATAGGTTTAACACCCATAAAGGAATGGGAGAAACAAAGAGTGGTATGATTGCTGCCAATGGATTTTTGTAGAATTTTTGCTTCAGTGATGGAAATACACCCAAATTATTTTGGTGGAACTTATTCAAAGAAGATGCATCTAGGATTACATTTTTAAACTGAGGTTGACAGAAGATATAAGCTTACATGTACATCTCAACTGCTATGCTCTCCACGACATTTGTTTTTTTATATTTAAAATGTCATGTTTCAATACTCCTCTTCAGCTTGGTAGAATGATAGTTGACCTTTGTTTTAATGCATGCCTGAAATCAAAATGTTTAAAGGAAATGGAAAGCTAAATTAGAAAATTAAGAAGAAAAATCCTGCACAAGCATGACTTATTCCAGCACTCATATGCTGGAATGTTTCATACTATACCAGGTTGCATATGCTTGCACACTAATTCTCAATTGCCGTATGCAGTTTGTGACAACCATCTGCTAAGACCTCCCTTAGAGTTCTTTCTCCCACTCAGCCCAGCTGAAAAGGAAATATGGACAAAAAACCCACTTAAAAAAACAACCTAAAACTACACACACAGAAACTTCTGCTGGGAGATTAAAAACTTAATTGGGAACTCAAAAGTTAGAGTTTAACACTCATTTGTAATAAAGTACACCTGCAACTTAAGTCCTGCTTAGAAAATATTTCTGAAACATAATGTCATAGGAAGGTGCAAACTCAAACTTTGCTTTCCTTGACAAGGGAAGGGGAAATAATAACAAAAATTACACATAGCACACATATAATGTCTAGATCTTAAGGGCTTTCTGAGGTAAAATGTATAGCACAGGCTTCCTCCAACTCCCATCAGCCCCAACTAGCATGTCCAAAGGTCAGTGATGATGGGACTTGCCATTCAACAATATCTGGAAGAAACAAGGGAAGGTGGGTACAGTTGGAAGGTGGGTACAGATAGTTGGAATGGATGATATAGTTCTGCTTTCAGAATTGGATAAAACGATTTCCTCCTTGTCTTTGGCACAGTGTATTCTAACCCCACCCCATTATATTTTGCTATGTATACAGCTCTTTTTTTGTGTGTGTGTGAATGTCTTTTGCCAACTACATTGTATTACTGTAAGCAGCTTGGAAGGTTCTTGCAGGCCATGAAGTGTGAAGATTTCTCCGTGGTCCCCTTTCCTCCCTGGTCTCTTTCAGCAAAGCAACCCAAGCTTGACACAAACAATCAAATATCTGCAACTCCATCCCTTGGGTTCAGGGATTCCAGGAAACGGTAGGCCATGGGAGCAGCAGAAATAACCCTGCTCTTTTGGTTCCACAAAAGGGATGTGTGGTTTTGGGGACAACACCAGCTGAAACCCATGAGACTATTCCAGGGGAAATATGGCAAGGTCAAATACCTGGGGATCAGGACCATGGAGAGCTCCCCATCAAGCAGGATTTGATAACTAGGCAAAAGATTCACTATGCAATTTGGAAATAGGAATGTTGCTCCAGCCATTGCTCTGAAACTTGCTATAGACCTAAAGTGAGATAAAGAGAGAGGGGGGGAGCTTGCTTGGTAGTTGAAGGGGTTATGTTCTAATATGCACAGGCATGCTCTGGTGGGGTTGAAATGCCCCCTGTGGTCTCTGGACATGGCATGGTGAGTAAAGAAGGTTGCTTGGAGCACCAGGTAATCCAAACCTTACCAATTTTTGCCAGCAATGTTACTATGGTATGAGAGTGAGTCCACCATACCGATGTAAGTTCCTTATGGCAGCATATATTCTAGTAGTGCAAGAGAGCTTAGTATCAATCTTATCCTCATCCAATGGGCATATTTCTGGAATGTGGTTGTGATCCTATCATTAAGTTATGCCCACAGAAAGAGAGTTGGATTGCACTGCTATTCAAATAATATATGGAAAGAGCAATTGCTCCTACATTGTGTTTTCAGCTGTCGTGAAGAAAATTGGAGTTGTTATTTTCAAAGTAAATTCACTGCCTTAGCACAATCAAACCATTTTTTAAAACATCACCAAACATGGAAGCCTGTAGTCACTGATGCAAATTGATGCTTTCAGTGTTCTTAGCATGGAAAAGAATACGATAGTTCAGCTGACAGTTTCTACTGTTCTATGAATTTGCTAGAGAGAAATTGCTGATTTTTTTATGTCAGGAAAAGAGGGGCAGCTCCTCCAAAAGCAGAACAAAATGTAAAAGTAAAATAACTCCATTGATTGAAGCCCTGGTTAGAAGACAAATCATTTGCTCTTGTTTCAGTCATGAAACTGCATTGTGTCAGTAATACATTGCATAAATAAGCTGACCTGTCAGATTTTGGGCAATTTATGGAGCTGGTCAGCCTCTACATTGTGCAGGGATTTGTTGGTGGGTTTTTCTTTCTTTTTTGTTGCAATGAGACGTAATGGCTTTTCAGCGCACCATAAGCACAGTTGTGACCACAGGCTCACTTGTGTCATTTTGCGTGCAGTAATGAAGCCTGACGAGTGGTCTCCTGCTTGCAGATAGCCGGCTGTTGTCCTCAAAATGCAAACCGTTGCCTCAGGCCATAGAATCAGGAACAGGCAGAGGACAGTGGCACAGGCAGGGCTCCCCACTGCTCATCTGCACTTTAGCACACTAGAGTTGGAATGCAGAAGAGCTTCCTTTACCCTTGTACATGAGGACGCTAAAAAGGGTGGGGGAAGGGAGGGAGGGAGGGAGGAACATTTGCAGGAAGGACAGTTTGGGCATCTATTTAATCTATCTATCTCTGACACGGAAAAGACATTCCTGTGATCATGCTAATTTCTACTCTACTCATTGGTCTTCCCCAATAATAAATGCTTTGAACATGGAAACAGGTTTTATCAGCTAGTGGCTGCTCTTGGACAGGGATAGTCTGGCCACTGTGATTTGATTATGACAATTTGTTCTATGGGGGACTACCCTTGGGCCTGGTTTGGAAGCTCCAGCTGGTGCAAAATGCTGTGGCTAGACTGTAGGGACAGACTATCACCAGCACCTAATTCCAGCGCTTGAAAACCTGCACTGGCTGCCCATATGCTACCAGGACATGCTCAAACCTCTTGTTTTAATTTTAAAAGCCCTTAACAATTTGGGCCCAAGGTACGTCAAGGATACCTAATCTCTTATATCCCTGCCTGATCACTGAGGTCTTTGGGAGAGACTGTGGATTGTTTCTCATGGCTCAGATGCATGACTCTTATCCATCAGGAGCTGTGCGCTTAGTGGTGTGCACCCAGTTTTATGGAACTCTCTTCCAGCTGAGGTCAGATAGGTCCCTCTTTATGGAATTTCTGGTGCTGAGTGAAGATTTATTTATTCTAACAGGCATTTGAATTTGATTTCATGGTTTCAACTGATTTATATATTTTTTGTATTGCAACTTCGTAAGCCATTTAGAGATGATTGGAGTTAAGTGATAAAAAAATTGCTTAAATAAATACATAAAAATACATTGTTCATCATATTTCCTTAGAATAAGCAAAGAAAACCAATGAACAAAGCAGGTTTCTTCTGCTCCTTCTCCTTCTTCCGAAGGGGGTCAGGGATGGGCTGGACACTGAGGAGTTGGTACCAGGAGAAGTGGGTTGGATACTGACTTGGAAGAAGAAATCAGTGGCATCAGAACTAGTTCAACCTCTGTAAGGTATTTTGTTCGGTGGGGGAAGTCCCACAGCACTGCGATCAGAGATAAGCCTCTGCTTGCTCTTTGAAGGCAACAGCAAAGGTTTGTCTCCAAGTGTAGCGTTGTGGTAGTACATGCACTTACCTGGGAGTAAGCCCACTGAAAGCAATGGGACTGAATTATAGGTAGACATGCAAAGGATTGTGCTCTTGAACTTCTTTAATATGTTCTGCAGCATTTTATATATGTGTAATATAATTCCTTCCCAAACCTCATTGAATGGAATGGAAGCTTTGTAGCATTTGTACTTGGTCTGTTGCATCTTAAGATACCTCAGGGTTATAATATGTAGTTCGTTACCATTATTAATATGACACTGATGTTTAATTGATTAATCAGGCACAAAACACATAGGCTCTGCAGCTTGGCCTTGGGAATCTTCAAAGTTGCTTTTAACTGACTTTTCAGGCTATGAACTGTGCCAAGTTAATGCAGTATTAACACACTATTTTGGGCATATATAATACAACACGCTTGTACTTTTGGGACAGAAGCTATTTCTATGGATACAGTATGCTGAACAGACACAGACCAAAGAAAACCAAAATAGTTCATTCTATGCTGTCAAGGAAACAAGCTGCTCTCTCTGTTTAAAGAACCTTCACTGAAAGTATATGAAAGCAACCTCCAGGAGGGCAGGGTAAAGTCAGATTTGTAGGGAACATTTTGTCTCTGTTTTCAATCCCCTTCCCACTAAAGTAATGATGCCACTGGAACTCACAAATGGGAAGTTGTAGGTTGAATCTGTTGGGCCTTACCTTATTAAATGTAATATTCTTGTAATTTAAACTGAGATTTATTGTGAGTTTATTAGTTTCCAAGCATGGCCATTTGCATGACCACCATCCTTGTGAATACCCAGTTGTTGATTGCTGTGACCCTTCACTTTCTGAAGGAACTCTAAAGGTTTCATTTTAAATGCATATGCACATAAAATGATTTGCTTTGGAAACTCTGCCAAAACCATCAGTTTTCTGATGGTAAACAGAGAGGACACATGAAAACAGCCAGTCAGAGAAGGGAATGTAGTGACACATGGTGCCATTATTCACATCATGATGTCATGATGCCATACTAACCAAAATGTGTCCAGTCCTTTGCATATGTATGTGCAAAAGAATTGAAAATGAGATGTCAAAATAATAGAGAGGTTTTGTCCGATCTTGTACCATTGGATTAATTAATTATCAATAGAATTACATGTTCTCATTGGGTAAGTGTGCTCTGGGCCTAGCTGTTGTCAACATCCACTCTATGGAGTAAAACCCACAACTGATTAAATCTGCAATTAAGCCCCACTGATTTCAATGGCACTTACTTGTACATAGCATCCTCTAGATTTCACCCATGGTTACTTATGGTGATGAACAATCCACTTTGTTGTGGCACTATTCAAACCAATTTGCCAATTCAAACCACTTTGCCAATTTAAACCAATTTGCCAAATCCTTTTCTAATGTAACAATGAATATTCTAGAGAGACGATTTCTAAATGGCAATACAATGTCTTGCCCCTACCCCTGGTCAATATGACACTATAAAACAAGAGTGAAGAACCAGTGGCTCTCTAGATATTGTTGGACTATAGCTCCCATCAGTTCTTGTCATCATAAACAATAGCTGGGGATGATGGGAGATGCAGTCCAACAATATTTAGAGGTTCCCCCCTCTGCAATAAATTAAGAGAGCTAAGAGTAATCAGTTATGAAACACTTGCTGAAACTGTTATCACTAATGTGGCAGTACCACACAATTCATAGTTTGACAGTGATGAGGAGCAATCAAACATTGAGGAAGAAAGAGATATTTTAACATGTTACTGATAGCCACTTTAAGACAACACAGATTAGTTTTGTTGTTCACCATGTATATGTATATGTGTATACACACACACACACACACACACACACACACAGAGTTGTACCTTGGTTTTCAAACAGCTAAGTTCTTGAATGTTTTGGCTCCCAAATGCCACAAACCCAGAAGTGAGTGTTCCAGTCTGTGAATTATTTTTGGAAGTTGAATGTCTGACGCGGCTTACGCAGCTTCCAATTGGCTGCAGGAGGTTCCTGCAGCCAATCAGAAGCCGTGCTTCAGTTTGCAAACATTTTGGAAGTTGAACGGACTTCCAGAACAAATTCTGTTCGACTTCCAAGGTACAACTGTAATTATATATATACAGAGAGAGAGAGAGAGAGAGAGAGAGAGAGAGAGAGAGTCATAAGTGCTAATTCACAACAGAAGCAAAATATGAACAATCCTTCCTCCACTATAGCCCCAAGACCTGAAATGGAAGGCTCATCCACACTTCTGCTTGTCCTGTGCCTAGAAAGCATGGGTCCAGGCAGTTTTCTCCTTGCCCCATGCTTTCTAGGCATGGGTCTACATGGTTTCACCTTTGCCTTGCTGCTTTCCCATCCTTTAATCCTAAATCAGAACAAACTCAGTCCAGAGAAAATCTGACTGATGTTTGCTCTGATTCAGTGGTAAACAGCAGGTTTCCCTGGGCAAAAGCAGGAGGGCAAGCAGGACAATATATATAAATGGTTTGTTTTAGATTATGGATTACCGGTACATACTGGACAAATATGCTCTGCTATTTTTCAGTAGCTACAGGTTGATTGTAAAATGTTCAAGGAATACCTCTAGATCATGCTTCCTCAACCTCGGTCCTCCAGATGATTTTAGCCTACAACTCCCATGGTCCCTAGCTAGCAGGACCAGTGGTCAGGGATAATGGGAATTGTAGTCTCAAAACTACAATCTGGGGGGGCCGAGGTTGAGGAGGCCTGATCTAGATGGTACACCTCTTTCTCACT